TCCAAAGCTTGACAATACTTCTGGTGATGAAATTTTCCTAATATCCAATCTAAACCTCCCCTGGCACAATTTGAAGCCCTCTCCTCTTGATTGTTTGTTCCTACTACTTGTTACTTGGGAGAAGACACTGACCCCCACCTCTCTACAACCTCCTTTCAGGTAGTTGCAGAGAGCAATTAGGTCTCCCCTGAGCCTCCTTTACTCCAGGCTAAAATTAAAAAAAAGTTCTGTCAGCTGTTCTGGTTCTGGGCCAACAGATGTGCACACGCAGCTCCTTACATCTTCCTCTATAACATGACTGCACCCTGCCCCAGGTGCTACCCTGAGGTTCAGTTTTTAATCTTCCAGTAAAAGTCAAAGTACATTTTTGGCCTATAGGTCACAGAGAGAAAAGAAGGAGGATGTTCTGTCCCAGATTTTGTTATATATACACTCCTAAACATAAATTATTAATGTTCAAACAGATCATACATTTCACAAGCTTGTTCTATGCACTATCTGATTTCCCACAGATTTCTCTCCTGCCTCTAACTTGCCCCTCCACAGACATCAGACATCCATCCCAGGTCTCCTCAGCCTCTGCTTTCTCTGGATATCTGCACTTTTGCCCTTACTCTCACCTCTGTGATTTCCTAGCTCTTTCCTTTGCTCCTGTCTTTCTCTCCTCTAGCCTTCTACTGAACTACTTTCAGCTCTTTTGCTAAGGTTTTTCAGGCCCTCCAATATTTCCTTCTCATGTCTCCACCTGTCTGGCCCAGGCTGTACAGGCTGTTAACTACCCATCCACTAACAAGGGGAGAAGATTAACAACAGCTGAACCTTGTGTTTCCCCCAACAAGAGCAGGATCTGTATGGGTGAATACCAGCTACCGACTGTCATAAGATGTTTCTGAAGCTAATGTAATTGATATTTCACCTTTCATGTTTGCTTGAAACTGCTTAACACACAACAAAACTAGAAGGCAGAGGGAAAGACAAACAGAAAACCACATTAAAAACAAATGCCTAAAAATTCTGCACTCATTATATGTGATACCTCATTTTAAAATAGTTAGAAAAAGAATGACAATTTTCAAAAGTGATGTACTACCTATACTGAGGCCTTAGATCTGAACTTTAGAATTCATTTATTTAAAAAGGAGTCATTATAATTACTTTCATTTTTCATCAGACTTCCTTCCTCTCCTTCTTCTTGTAACACCCCTTGTGGAAAGTAAAAATCTGCATGGGGACTCCAGCACCTCCTCAGTGCCACATTGCAGTTGGCCAGAAATAAAGGAATAGAGCATTAAATTAAATATGGTCTTCCTCATAGCTGTGCTGTGCATTCCTCCCTTTAGAGCGTTCCCAACTGAAGATGGCTTGACAAGTCCAGCTGAGGTAACAGAAAAAAGCCCACTTGAACAACAACTCAGTCCCTTCCTTCTTCTCCACCTTCATCAAATTACAGAAAACACAAGGTGCACTTCTCTACCATGAACCTTACATCCCTCTTACGAGAAGAATAAATCTCATTTTCACCTTGATTAACCCACAACATGGCAAATCTTGAGAGAAGAGATCCAAAGCATATATGGTGACATATTTCTTCCATATTTACATCAATTTAAAGATATTGTACAAAGTGTTGTCCTGGTTTCAGCTGGGACAGAGTTAATTTTCTTCCTACTAGCTAGTATGAGAATAATGTTGATAATACACTGATGTTTTTAGTTACTGTTGAATTGTGTTTATACTAAGACAAGGACTTTTCAGCTTGTCATGCCCTGCCAGTGAGTAGGCAGGGGGTGCACAAAAAGTCGGGAGGACAACTGACCCCAACTGACCAAAGGGATATTTCAGACCATAGCTTTATGCTCAGTATAGAAACTGGGAGCAAAGCTGGCTGGGGCCACTGCTTGGCAACTGGCTGGACATTGGTCAGCAGCTGGGGAGCAGTTGCATTGTGCATCCCTTATTTCATATACTGTTTTTTTTAATCATTATTATTACCTTCTTTTTTTTTTTTTTTTTATCCCTTTTCTATCCCATTAAACTGTCTGTATCTCAACCCACAATATCCCCCAGTTTTACTCTTCTGACTGGTTTTCCTGCCTCTGGCAGAGGGGATGGAACTAGATGATCTTTAAGGTCCCTTCATACCCAAACCATTTGTCCTGGGTTCCGCAGTAGCAGTCATGTTTTTTCCTTTGTGTTAGCTGGTGCAGTGCAGTGTTTTGACTTCCAGCCTGGGAACAGTGCTGGTGAAGCCGATGTTTTCAGTTGTTGCTAAGTGATGTTTACCCTGACCGAGGACTTTGTGAGGCTCATGCTCTGCCAGGGAGGAGGAGAAGCTGTGAGGAAGCGGAGACGGGGCGCCTGACCCAGGCTAGCCGGGGAGGTATTCCATACCACAGCACGTCATGCCCGGGGTGGGGGGTAACTGGGAGTTACCCGGAAGGGCACGGGCTTCCGGGTGGAACTCGTTTTCTTGGCCGGTGGTATCGTATTCTCTTCCCTTGTTATTTTCCCTTATCATTGTTGTAGTTGATAGTAGCGGTGGTGATTTGTGTACATTGGTTGCTGGACTGTTCTTGTCTCAACCCGTGGGAGTTGCACTCTCTCAATCCTCCTCCCCGTTCCTCTGGGAGCGGGGAAGGGGAGAGCCCCGGTGGGGGGGGGACACGGACCGCGATTGTTGTCAGCTCGGCACCACTCACTGGGAGTGAGTGAACAAGTTACCTGACTGGGTTTAAACCACGACACCATTCTATGATTCTGTGATTCTCTACCCCATTCCACTGGGGGGAAGTGAGCAAGCAGCTGCATGGTGCTTAGTTGCCAGCTGTGGTTAAACCATGACAACTGTGTACAGAATGGTTTGAGAAATAAATACAAAACTCTGTGCTGATACTGTAAATCATTTCAAAAAGTATTGAGGCTGAGTAATCTTGCTGTGGCCCTGACACAGTGGTACCATGGTAGTGTCAGGATGCTTATAAAGATGTAAGGAAACCCTCAGGGAAGCATGCAGGGCTCATCAGCAAGCAACCAAGCTGAGAGTGCCTTCCTAGAAGAAGAATGGCTGCAGAAGCATTCTTCTGTGCCTCACTCCTTCCCAGGCTATGAGATTTTACTTCGTCCACAGAAGCCTGAAAATCTGCAATGATAATGAAAATGTTAATGTAATCTGAGCTACCTCGGGACTAGTGGGGCTAACTATTAAAATCTCATGAAAAACACAATGAAGCAATTTTTTTATTATTTTTATGTACTAACCACAGAAGAAGGCAATTTATCAAAACCATTCACTACATCTGACTAATAGTTTTGTACATTACAGGAATCCACAAATAACTGATGAATACTGATAAGCTGTAAACCATTTCTCTTCTTGTAAATACTGCAAACCATCCAACACTGCTGCTAACACTGCTGCAAGTAAATCAATGAAAAAAAAAATTAAAGAAATAAAAGCCTAAAGCATTTCAGAAGTATAAAAAAAAGCCTTTTCACTATTTTTCACATTTGTATTGCTTTCCTTCCTCTCTGGAAAACTGAGTCATGCAGCTGTGTGGTTATGGGTTGCAATCTGGTGGGATCACAGTGTTTAAACTGCATTCATCCTAGTTACAGATCAAATGGCAGAGCCCTAAAGGAACAGCAAAGTACTGTGAAAGTTATCTACTCTGCTCAGAGCATTTTGCCCCTTGAATCAGAGCTGAACCAATGTACCATTAAAACATCAGACAACACAGAGCTTCTGTTTTAGATAAGCTACAACTCAGAGAAAACTGATGAGCAGTGCTTCTTCACCAAAGCAGTGGTGATGTGGCACTGAAGAGGAAAAGCTAAGCAGCCCAGCCCCTCCCCACCATGTAACAGGGAGAAAAGCTTGCACTACACTGTGCTGGTGAATTACATGCCTCCGAGGTCTCCTGCTAATGCCCCTGCTGTTGTGTTATTCAGGAAACAAGGAGCAAATTTTCTGCTTTGTGTTACTTGTCATCATAGCTGCTTCTCATTGGAACTACAAATGTTATCTGTAAAAAGATAAAACCATGATCCTGACTGACTGCTGCTATTGAGGCAGGATATTAAAGATCTCATTGTTGCGCTATCTATGTGCCGACACAAATATCTGCCCAATTATATTTTTTTCTAAAGATGTGAATTCTGTGATGCAATGGACTTGCATTTTTACGCTGTAAAATAACCCCAATATTAAAACAATGAGCCATTTTAGGTGTTGAATACCTGAAGTGCAAAAGAACACAAATGATACTTTATCTGAGAATCATAAAATATTTTAAAAACAGTAATGGTTGAAATTCAACCTTGTACAGGGGACAGCACTGGCTGTACATCACTTAAGCCCTATTTAAGGTTTCCGAATAGGATTTAAGTGAAACTTTGCTGGTGCGTGACATTTGTGCTGACACTGTGCAGAGCTGAGTACAACCCATTAATGACTTAACCTTCGCAAGCAAGTATCTCTTTGAGGATCATTATTTTTACTGCATCCATAGCTTTAGGAGAAAAAAAAAAAAGGGGCTGTCTTTTGCACTGCTGTTTGACATTATGACGAGCCTGGTGGCATGGTCATGTTAGATATTTCCACCTCTCATTGTCATGCTTCTCTGTGCTATGGCATGACACCCCATCCTCTAAGCTGTGTTCCCATCCAGTTACCTGGGTCAACAGAAGTGTTAACGCCAGAGACCTTCTAACACAAAGCTGCAGCTTCAGTTAATTGATTCCATGAGCCATATAATGCTCACTGATACATCTTGCAGTGCTTGGTGCACAGGGCAATTATTCAGTGGAAGTTTGCTGCTTCCCATTTTGACAACTGCTGCTGCTCTTTTCAAGAGAAATTCACAGGGAGGCAAGGAAGACCCTAAGAAAAAAAAATTAAACCAAAATAACCAGGTACACCAACAACAAAATCTCCGATTAACTGGAACGGTACAGCATGGAAGTGTTACTCTCTAAAGCTTTATATCTGTTTCACCTTTCAGAGCAAGCTTTGGCAATCACAAGCTTAGAGAATGGGGTCCTCTGCAACATCCATGCCTCTGACTGCACCAGGATTCGGGTGTTTGGCCTTGGCTTCAAAGAGTCACCCAACCTGCACTGCAAGGTCACCAGATTAATTGTAAGCAGCTTCCCAAGGGTTTGTAAAGTACTGATGATAGAGTCAAATTTTGACATGTTCATATTAATATCTTTTACCATGAATTGTGCCAAGTGCCATCATCTCTCATTGCCACAGTAAGGTGCAAATACCTCCAAAACCCACTGCAAATATGTTTGCTCCAAGTGAGGGGAGGTGAAGAGCCTCAGCCCTGTCCAGGACTGGTTCCTTGGAAATGCACAGCTGTGTGTTCTTGCCAATTTTCTCTGTGGGGTTTTGTTTAACTCGTGTTTGGTTCAGCTGCACTGTAGCCCAGTGAAGCCTGAAATCGCAATATTATTTCTCATTGTGTGCATCTGGAATCAGTATATTTAGTTGTTTTCCTAAACATATTTGAAGCTAAGTTTTGCGGTTAAATATAAGGTTTCCACAACATAGTTACAGAGGCTCTTATTTGCATTTTCTTACTCATAGTTCAGCACCAAATTAGAAGTTTTAATGAGTATTATACCCACCTCTTTTGCTAACACTATAATTTTATTATAAACAACTATACACAGGCAATGCTAGGATTGAATTATTTGGTGTTTCAGCGTACTTGTGTTTGGTTCATCTCATAAATCCACCCCATAAAAGACAGTTAGCCTGGTTCCCATTCAGTGCTAACATGCTAATGAGGCACAGCTGAGATTTGCCTACCATGCCTGCTTAACAAGCAGTGATGTCCTGTGCAGCTGGTCTAGATAAGTAGCTGACATCATTTTCAAGGATCAACAAGTGGGATGCTGAGCTCCAGGAGCAAACACAAAGTTGCTCCACCATGTTACCCTGTCTCATCCCAGCTGCTCATCCCAAGCACAGACCACAGAACTTCCTAAATCATTAGACTGCCCGCATGCATACAGGAGCATGGCTTGCTCTTTACTGTGGCTAGAGTAACAGCATCATCTCTTTTAAGTAAACCACCTGGAACTGCCTTATATTATTAATTAAAAATATAAACATATGTTGACAATTTGAATTTCTCTATATGAGCCTTCATTTTCTGCACCTTCCTTCTGTTTTACTGCAGCATCTCAATGGCAAATGGATATCAAGAGACCAAGAAACCACATAAGCAGATTTTCTCAGCTCCAAGGCTGTTCACTGTGAAATTCCTCTCCTGAACGTTACAGAGCCAGAGGCTGTGCACTTTGTGACTGGTGATGAACCGTTCGCAAGATGGCAAGTCAAAGTAGGAATTCTTATGTTTCCAAGAAATTATTTAGGAGAAAATGAGTTGTTATGGTAAATTAAAATGCAAAGAACAATTTGCTTCCCTTCAGAAATGAAAATGCCTGTAAAAATACTAATGTTAATGTCATGTAGGGAATAAAAAAAACAACCCACAAACAACTAAAACAATAGGTGTTAAACACAGGTGTCTTTGTAGGCAATAGAGAAGTGCAAATTAAAATCATTTCTCCAGGTGATCACCTGAGATTGATGCAGTCATACTGATCAATTGTTAATCATTAGTATTTCATTTCTGGAAACCCCAGCTGAAAGTCCTGATTAGGCATCAGGTATAAGATAGATGTGACACCCTTGTAGCAAGACTGATGTGTACCCAGTGCAGGAGCAGAGCACTGTCCAGCTCCTGGACAGCAAGTGATGGATGGCACAGCATGAGCAGGGGTGTCTTTGTTTTGGCCTTGAATGACTGCAGGAAGAGGTGTGTGCAGTACCTGCTCCTGCCAGGTAATCTGCTGCAGTTTTAGTCCCTTTTGTTCATAAAATGATACCTACTTTCTAAATATTTCAGTGCCTTACTGACCCTGTGCCTGCTACCCTTGGTATCACTTTGAGCCTGGATGGTTATTTTCTGCAGCTTGGCTGTTTTTTATAAGACAGGTCATTTAAAGGCTCTACAGCTGAGAAAACTACATTGTCATTGTAGGAAACTGCAGATGTGCTTTGAAAATTGCAGCACGTTAAATGAAACACATAAAACACTCACTTGCTGGGGTGCTACTGCCTGTCCTGCACCCCACAGCTGTCTGTATGCCAGACTGGGACATGTTTTGCCATGTGATCTGAGGAAACAGAAAAAAGTTTGGCGGTGCTCGTTTTCAGTCATTTATTTTAAATAGGTAGGGATTTGTCTTTTAAGAGATTATTGTAAGATCTCTGTGGGAACAGAGCCTGACCATCAGCTGCTGGGATGGACCTTGGACCTTTCTTCTGGAGAAGGTGATGTGAGAGAGGACAGTCCCTCTGCTTCATGCTCCATTTCTCAAAAGAGACACTGAACTCTGCCAACTGTGAGATGAAATACTGAAGGAAGGATCTGAGCGGGCAGCCTTGAGTTTCCTGGCCCAAAAGGACAGCTAACATTTTTGCATGTGTACAAGGCTATTTCTCCAGTGTAACCAGCATAGCTTCCTTAAAGCTCAGGTGTATTGCAATGCAGTTTGCTCTCAAGTTACTGCCTTTCAGCCTTGAGGAGGTCTGAAAATATTTGTTTCTATCTCCCCCTCAAAACAGCTATATAATGTCTCATTCCTTGCACTGAAGTTCAGGAAAACCTCTGCACCTGTAAGCCTTCTTCCCTTTCCCTCTCCTTCAAACCCTGCAGAAAAATAGGTTGATGGCTATGCAGCAAATGCGCAATTAAATCATCCCTGTCCACATGCAAATCCTAATTCTCCTGTGGACTTTTTTGCTGATTGAATTGAGAAGACAGAGCTCAGTCCTCAATGTCATAGGCAGCAGAGAGAATAAAATGACAGAGCTTTTCAAGATAAAAAATTATTTGAAACTAATTCCACAGATGTTCAAAAATTCATGTTCTGGAAAAATCCTATTGAGATTTCCTGCAATGTTGATATTCTAGATGGTGTTAATAGATACTTTAAAAACTGTAGGTAAAATAGTTTGCAGACCGAAAATCAAAACAGTTCTTTCTGGAAATAACACTTCTCGATATTTTCAGAATCACTCCCCACTCCCAAATCAAATTTCAGAGGAATCAGCACATAAATTTCTCATAAGCCTTTTTCACAACCAACACTGTGGGAGTAAGGGCTTGAGAAGCTTTTCTCAGTGCTCTTTCATTTTATCTGCTCCTGTATTCATGTTTCAGATTTTGCTCATTCCTTCCATGACATGCTGCCAAACCTAGATAAGAAAATACATGGGGCTGCACCAGAGTGTTCGGTATAATTTGTTTAGATATCAAAATACAAACTCCTATTTGGACAGCAAATGAGATGGGCTGTCCACAGAGTTGCCTGGCCAAAGAAGTGAAAGAGCTTGGCAGGCACTGATCTAATTTGGGAAGTAGGTCTGGCTTATCCTTAAGTCTTTATATTTTCTTCTATTTGTCAAGAGAAGAAAAAATACTTATTAAAAAGCCAGTGAGGCAGAAACTGAATTTGAATTCAGCAAGTTTTTACATCTTTCTTTTTTCATTTACAAACATTCGTACGAGTCAAACTGTATGTAGATTATGAGTGATACATATATCCAGTATTGTTTTGTGATGAATGAAATACTTCAGGCAGAAGTGTCAGACTTCCTGATTGTCCTGATTGCTTATCAAGAAGAAGCGGCTCTTTCTCTCCAGATGATAGATATGTTCAAGAATCAAGCTACAGTTCTATGCATGTCTTTGTCTTTTAAGGACCAACTGAATTTGAAGAGAGGTTTGTTCAGCTTGGGTCTCATTGAAGTATTTGTTCCACATCACTAAGGTGACTAATGGAAAAGCAATTAAAATAACTATATAACATCCCAATTCTGAAAAGACACCAAAATGGGTGTTTATAATGGAATGTAGAAAAAAATACAGATTAAAAAAAATCCAATTGGCCAGAGTTACATTTCACTCACAATGCTCATTTCAGACAGAACAATTAGTGCAACTTTCTAGCTTTTTACATTTTTCCCTATCTACCCATTCCTTCATCCATTATTAGTGCACCAGTATTGAGACAACATTGGATGCTTTGGTAAAAGACTGAAATGAAAAGAAATGTAAATTGCAATAGGAATAACATATTCTTAATGGAGATCTTGCTGCCAATAAGCACTGTCTTTCTGAAGAACAGGTCTTGAGGGGGGTTGCCTATTGCTTATTTTTTCTGTTCTCAAACTGCAGGGTAAGTTCTTTACTTCTTTTTAAAGAGTTTTTACCTTTAGAGTAACACACAAAGATCTAATATTGCAACTGAATACGATGCCTAGGAAAAACCTATTATTTTTCTTAAAGCTATACCAATGAATTTTACTGAATTTTTAGACCAATTAAAAGTTCTACTCCCTGCACTTTCAGTTATTTTTGTCCAATTTAATACACATTCTTTCCGTGAACTGAGTTTATTAATTGATAAAAAAACTTTATATTCTTGACCACGTAAAAGTCCCATGAAAAGGGATGAGGATTTCTCAGCTTTGGGGTAGCAATAGAGATAGAGGAGGGCTTTGGGGTTTCTTTTATAGCAAGAGGACAGGGGAGTACCTGACTGATCCAAAACAAAGGCCTTGGTCAATCTGCTAAACAGTGGCTTTATTTTGACTATGAGAAACCAAACACCTAAAAAATACTGGAAAGAAAGGGCTTTGCTTTCTTGCTGGAGGTCATCAGTGTTTACAGCATGGCTTTTAGCAGTGTTTTGGGGTGCTGTTAACATTCATGCCTCTAAAAAGGTGTCACAAGGCTTTCTCAAAAACTAACCCTTTCCACACTGGTCTCACATCTTTTTATTTATATTGTAGAAAAATTAAAATATAAACTCAGTTAACCCTTTCTCCTTGTGTAAGCATTCATATATGAAAACCACCATGCTATATTAAGGCTTTCTAAATCACCTACATGTCCAAGAAACTGTGACTGTGCGCTGGGACAAGAGGTGACTGTTATAATGTACCTTCCTATGGAAATGGGAGTATTGCTCTCTGGTATTATTTACCCCAGCACTTTTTTAAGGTTAATTTAAAAATCACATATCGAATAAAAAATCCTTTTTTTTTTGTTTTTTGTTGTTTTTTTTTTTTTGCCATTAATACAAAATGGGCCTGAATTTCAGCCAAAAATCTTAATTTCATTTCACAACTCCTTGAAAGATTGTAGCACTTGAGTACATTTTCCACTGGCTGTTGAAAGAAAAAAAAAACAGACAACTCAGAAAAAACCTAACAGCAATGAGAAAAGTTAAATGCCAACTGAGCCAAAAGATCTTTTGGTTATTAATGAACAGTTTCCAGTTTGGAGCACTAAACGATTTGTTAGCTTGCAGGAGAGCCACTCACAAGTGGTTTAATTTATCTTGCTGGCAAGCATCCAGTTCAAGGGGGCAATGGTATATGCTCCAAAATGAGCAGACAGTCTCCATATGGAACATTATTACTTATTTTGTATCATTTAGATCTCTAACGATGGCTTCCAGTACAGTAATTCCAGAGTGCTGACCCTGTACAATGCAGTCTGCCAGGCCTGCCAATTCCAACCAACTGGACTTTGTAAATTAAAGGTAATTTAAAGATCATAAAGGTTTAATATGGATTGTTCATCTCTTCCTTAGCCCTTTCCCTCCCTTTGATGTACTGTGTGTAATAACTGCTTTAGAAGAGGAAAATCTATTTCATAGGTCAGCTGCATAGCCTAACTCTTTCCTCTTCTCTCCTTCACATTCTTTTCTTCATATTTACGTGGGGTATGAATACCTGATACATCACACTTTATGAAGGACCTTTCTCAAGCAGCCACTTCCAGAAAGACCTTGGTTGACTATTTATACTTTGCAGTTTTTAATGGAAGCGAATAAGACTGAGGAGTCTCCCCTGAAAGGCAGCTTAACTTTACTTCTGAAGTGTCTCTGCTATTTTACCTCTTCCAGCCTGTTTGGTGACGGCACCGTAACTGTAAGGTATATAATTTCTATACCTATCTCCTGCCTTAGCAAGAGGTATACTAAGATGCATGTTATGCAGTTTTGGTCATGTGAAAATACCCTGCTTTCCTACCAAGGCAAGTAATAGGAGGCCACAGGTCTGCGTTTTCATAAAATGAAGATTAATCAGGTACATCTTAACTCATTTGCTCACTATTCTCACTAACACTAATGGGAAAATACATTTTCAGACTTGCACTGATTGCAAGAAAGTACCAGTTACCAAGATAAAATGAAAGTTCACATTTTTTCAAATATATCAGTGAATAAAAATTACTTTATAGGCCCATGTTGTGAGTTGACCCTGGCTTGACACTCAGTGCCCACCAAAGCTGCTCTTTCACTGCCTTCCTCAGCTGGAAGGGGGAAAGAAAATATGACAAAAGGCTGTGGGTTGAAGGAAGGGCAAGGAGAGATCACTCACCAGTTACTGACATGGATAAAATAGACTCCACTTGGGGAAATTATTTAATTTATTACCAATCAAATTAGATCAGAATAATAAGAAATGGCTACATCTTAAGAACACTTTCTCTCCACCCCTTCTTCCTAGACTTTACTCCTGAGTTCTACCTCCTTCCCCCACAGTGGCATAGGTGGATGGGGAACAGGTGTTGTGGCCAGTTCATCACACCTTATCTCTGCTGCTCCTTCCTCCTCAGGGCAGGGCTCCTCACACTCTTCCCTTTCTCCAGTGTGGGGTTCCTCCCAGAAGAGATAGTCCTTCATGGACTTCTCCAACATGAGTCCTTCCCACAAGCTGCAGTTCTTCATGAACTGCTCCAGTGTAGGTCCCTTCCATGGGTGCAGTCCTTCGGGAACAGACTGCTTCAGTGTGGGTCCCTTCCATGGGTGCAGTCCTTTGGGAACAGACTGATCCAGTGTGGGTTCCTTCCATGGGTGCAGTCCTTCGGGAACAGACTGATCCAGTGTGGGTTCCTTCCATGGGTGCAGTCTTTCGGGAACAGACTGATCCGGTGTGGATCCCTTCCATGGGTGCAGTCCTTCAGGAACAGACTGCCCCAGCATGGGTTCCTTCCATGGGTGCAGTCCTTCAGGAACAGACTGCCCCAGCATGGGTTCCTTCCATGGGTGCAGTCCTTCGGGAACAGACTGATCCAGTGTGGATCCCTTCCATGGGTGCAGTCCTTCAGGAACAGACTGCCCCAGCATGGGTCCTTTCCAAGGGGTCACAACTCCTGCAGCAAACCTGCTCCAGCAGGGGCTCCTCTTTCCATGGGGCACAGGTCCTGCCAGGAGCCTGCTCCAGCATGGGCTGCCCACAGGGTCACAGCCTCCTTTGGGCATTCCCTGCTCCAGCACTGGGCTCTCCATGGGCTGCAGGTGGAGATCTGCTCCACCACGGTCCTCCATGGGCTGCAGGGGGACAGCCTGTTCCTCCATGCGCTGCACCATGGACCTCCAGGGCTGCAGGGGAATCTCTGCTCTGGCAACAGGAGCACTTCCTCTGCACTGACCTTGGTGTCTGCAGAGCTGCTGCTCTCACAGGCTCTCACTCTCCCACTGCAACTGCTGTTGTGTGGCTTTTTCTCCTTAATGATGTTATCCCAGAGGCATTACCACTGTCACTGATGGGCTCAGCCCTGGCCAGCAGTGGGTCTGTCCTGGAGCTTGATGGCATTGGCTTTGTTGGACATGGGAGAAGCTTCAAAACGCTTCAGAAGCCACCCCTGTAGCCCCTACAACTGAAACCTTGTCATGCAAACCCAATACAGCCCAAATGAGGGCAAAGACATTTAAATTTCAGATTAAAATAATTGTGCCAGAATCATTTCAATTAATGCTAGGGTAGTTTTTTTTTGTTAAAGGCTTTCCTTATTCTTACATTTTTGACACTCACAAATATATTTCTTTTTCTCAATATACTGGTATTCTCTAGGGATAATAATTTCTATTTCAAGATGCTTGAAGGGACTATTTGAACTAGGTTTCCAATTGCATAAGACCACATTCTAATTACTCCTCTTATACCATTACTTTGTAATACCTAAATTGCTTTCAGAAAAGGTGTTTCAATTAGGTGACATTTTATATCAAGCCATTTCACATTCTGTGTTCTTTTATGGACCCCATTCTGTACCACACTCATATCAGAAAAGAAAATAATCTTTTTCATCAGAACATCAAGCCTTTGAAAACAACAACATAATACAATCTAATTAACATACAGATTTTAATGTTGAAGATCTGTCATGTTCTGTCATGTTGGGGGAATTATGAGAGCCCTTTTTTTTCTCTACCTTACTCATTACTCTTAAAGTGGCATCATTTAAAATACTGACTAATATACTTTGCAATAAAAGTTTGAGAAACTAATAAAGCAGTAGATAGAAACCACACAGCCAGTACCAGGACACATATTAGTCTCAGAAAAGCAACGTGTATGCAAAGGAATATTCGCAGGAGGCTTCTCCCTCTTGCTGTCCCACTGTAACAGCGCCATCCCCCATGCTCCCAACATCACTCCATGTTTTGGTGGGAATTTGCAATGTTGGATAAGGTCCCATCTGCAGGTGTGCCCCAACACAGGCTGCAAGCAAAAGGCACAGGACCTTGTCATGGTGTAGATGTTTAATTACATCTGTTAATTATGTCCCTGTGTTTGCTTCTCAGACAATACAAGTGTCTTCAGCCCATGTGGAAGCCACAGGGCCTGACACCAGTGGCCACCCGAAGCAGGAGAGGACCAGGTCAGCTTCAAAGGCTGCTGTGCACACAGTGCACTGCATGAACCTTTGCTGGGATGCGCTGCTCAACATAGGCACCATCGATGTGTTTATCTGTCATTTACAACTATCTTGTGGAAGCCTAAACTCTAATGCACTTCTTTTTCTGATCTTATATCATTGCTTTTTCATATTTTTACAAAGCACTTAATTAAGTTACCAGAAAAGGATTTCAGAATTTCAAACGGAGCTTTTCCAATCCCAGTATCTTTTAGTCTCATGGAACTCACTTTTGAGGGCTACTTAATAACCAACATATTATTAGTCGCAGCTGGGAATAATGATCACACACACTACATAAATGTAGAAATAGAAATAAAAGAGAATCACATTCTGCTGCAGTCCTCCACAACAAGCAACATCATAGCTAAAACATTCAAAGCCACAAGCTACACATTCAAACTGAAATGGGAAAATTTACATCATGTTTTCTCCCTGTCAGGAGAAAGTACCAGCATTTAAATTGCTACTATTTTATTGTTTCAAGAGTCAGGTGAGTTTCTGCTCATCTCTAGAAATGATGAATTGCTAATTTTCTGTCTTCCTTATTTCTTTTTTTTTCTTGCCCCCACCACTCATCCAGTTTTATTTCCTTTTTCGTCAGGAAAATACTTGTAATATAGATGGACTTTGCTATGGTGAAGGAGAGTCAAGCCTTACCAGTCCTTGTCTTCTCTGTGAACCTGACATTTCGAAGTTCACCTGGTCTAATAATGAAAGTAAGATAGCTCTTCTCTAAGATTTAGAAGCACTTACCTGGGAATTTATGACTTGGTCTATGAAATACATGGTTCCTTCATTTGGGTAACGTGAGTCTATCCAGCACAGTGTGCATGGACAGATTGCAATGAGAATAATTGGGTGCACCAGCAATGCAGACTGACCAGAAGCAGACATTACTCCACTGCATACACTATGTATCTGTGCATGCATCTTGTTCTGGCAGAAACCTGGCAAATCTCAAATTAATAAAACTAACATAATGCCTGAAAATGAAATTTTGATACACCAGTGCCTAAGTCTGTCAGCTAACGGTGATGGATTCTAAATACCTCTGTCGTCATCCCGCAGGTACAAATCTTTAAGGGAACAATTTGGAGTAAATACTGTTTTTAAAATACTAGTGTGTACTTTTGGTGTCTGGAAGTATTGTTTGCTTTCCCTGAGCCAAATCCTGTGAAATGCCCCACAAAAGACCTTGGCTTGGCAGGGAGCCTAAGTGATAGGGATCAGCCCCTCATTACCTTCACTGCCACAGAACCTAAAGGCTCATTCTGCAACCAGTGGCAGGGGTCATGGAGAAGGCTGCCTTTTAAAGCACCTTCTGAATGCTGAGGACTTAATCATATCTTTTTCATTGCAATATCCCCAGTGTAAATAACAACCATTACTTACTGCATGCTTTAGAGGCAATCCATGTTTCTAGCAGCATTACCCTCAAAGTGCACCTCCCCACTTACATAAGCACAGTTGCATATGGTCAATATAAAGATCACATTACTGCTGCTCTGTAGATTCCTGTGTTGGTTCTAGAAAGAGTTTCTTTGCACTTTTAGGTTCTGTAAACACACACAAGTTATGTGAGTGACAGGACCAGTTTGTTTTGTTTGTTTGCAGTTTTTTATTCCTTTAGGGTAACTAAGTCAGCAGGACCCTTCTGAAAGGAGAGAAGATTGCTCTTGTCCTTGGGGAACAGCTGGGGATGCTCAGGGGCATAAGCTCCTAGACAGTGCAAGGTATGGCAGCAGAAACAGCCACAGCTGTGTGACAGTGGCTGGAGTCCATAGCTCCAGCTATGGACTGGAGACACTCCTGAGGAGACAAGTGAGCAGACACGCTTTTCTCAGAGGTGACAGAAAGGCTCTTGAGAAGGAGTTTCCAGCAACACAAGAAGCCATAAGCTGTCTGAAATCAATATTGGAAGGAGGAACACAGTAGGAAAGGAGAGGGTTGTTCATGAGCCCTATTAATTCCTGCTCCAGGGTAGCCACTTTGAATTTGCTCTATTTAAAAATATATGCCTCTAGTTTTTATATCCTAAAAAATCCTGCTTTTGGAATTTAATACTCCTTGTCATGAGAAGGTGTAGGCAAATCCATCCCAAGTACTGGCTATTAAAAAATACCATTGGATGTTTCTTGGATGAGTAGTTAAAATGCCTATGGTAAGCCAGACATTAAGAAGAGCTTGTACACCTGAAAGCTGTGTTTCCCCCCAACTCCCAGCATATAGTTTAGTCTAATGAGAGATATTACCTGTCACTCAGAAACCTTGCCTCCTTTCTGTCCTTCTGTTATGTTGGCCACAGCTGTAGCACCTCTAGAGATGAGCTGATCCAGATGGCTATATTGCCAGACTCGTTGCTAATATCAAGACGGTTTGATTTTAAAATTCAGAAAATGGCTTAAAAGGGAATAACTGCATTTGTTTTGGAATTTATAAATCTGTAAGTGATTGGGAAATCTGAAACAGATAATGGCTCACTTTACAATAATTTCAGAATTTAAAAATGCTTAAAGGATTTGTCAGACTTGTTTTCAAAATTGTGAAAAACTTTTTGAAAGTTCTGCAATAATTGGTAGGGTATATATATATTCACTGGATGGCAAGGAGATCTCTGCGGAATTAGAAACGTTCTTACTCACAGACTACTTTCAAAACACCTGATTTTATGTTATTTTGTGTCTATAACTTCTCGTTACCCTTCATCCAGTTAACACCTTTGTGTTTATGTGTAAATGCATACCCAGCATCAATATTTCATTGATTACTTTGTGTACAACTTTTATGGGCTCCATGGTTTAAGTGCTTGGGAAATAAAAGGTAAATTAATAGATGGAAGCTTTCAACAGTTATGTCAGGACAATCTGCTGGACAAGCATTTTAGAAAGCTCTGATAGCACAGCAAGAAGTGGAGAGACACAGTTAAATAACTGCATAATATGAGACATGTTATGGAAAGCAAAGCTTGATAAAAGGATATGCACCACAAAAAAAAAAAAAAGAAAAAAAGGCCCTAATGATGACTTCCCACAAGCATAATGCAAGGAGAGACAGTCCTCATGAAATCACATATATAGTTCATAGTTTTAGAGCGTGACTTGACACTAATCCTCAGTATTAGAGATGTACTTTAAGTTAAACATAACCACAGTCAAATTACATTGTGAGAAGATTTGTTTAAATATCAATTTGTATTGAGGAAAGATGGCTTGAGACAGAGGAGGCTTAAGACATGGAGATGAAATTCCCAGCTCTGTACAGAACTGCTGTCACCTCAGGGTACTCATCCAATTTTACTTTTCCCTGGTTTCCAATTATAAAATGGAATACTTCTCTCTACCTTGCCCTCATATACCTATTCATATTATAAGTATCTTCAGGTAGCATTTGTCTTCTACTGTAAAAGAGCCTTGTACCATTAGGTTTTTATTTTCACTATGGAAATACTGAATGTAAACACCACCACTAAAAATAACAATGCCAATAGTGACAATATACACTATGTCACTAGGGATAAAAGATCTCAGCATCACTGATGGACCTCTGCTGGTACTGGAAAGACCTTAAATCCTGATGAAATGTCCAACTGACTGCTCTGCCTCAATTACTACTCGTGTAAAGGCAGTAGAGTCTACTCAATGGAGAAGTTACAAAATCCCCCCTTCTCCTTGAGTTGCCCATCCAATTAGTTTGTTGTTCATCATTTTGAGATTTAGTTTACTTATATTTAGATAGATAGATAGATAGAGTGGTAGAAGAAATACATATTTCTTAGGAATACAATTAATTAAAGTTTTAGTAAGAGCTGGGGGACTAAGGAGAGGTTACAGAAGTCATGTCTGCTGACCTTGCACTTATCAGATAACACATGAAAAGTAATCAAAATTCAGCATGGGAGAAAAGTTCAGTATGGGCATGAATGCTTCTTGATAAAACCATTTGCTGCCTCTAACATCTAAATTGCTTCCTCTGTTAGTCTCAGGGTACATTCTGTACCTCTTTTTTTTTTTTGAGATCATCCCTACAAAGACCCATGCTGTGAACCTTTACATGGAAGAAACTGGAATTTATGTAATCATGGTTTCATTCTTTTCTGTTTAGACAGCCTGCCCCCTGTGTTCCAGGCCCCCTCCAGCCAGCTGCTGACATTTATTGGCGAGAATTTTGTTTATCAGTTGTTAGCAGTGGATCCAGAAGGGTCAGCTGTGCTATTCGTCTTAGAGGCTGGGCCACAGGATGCCAGGCTCTGTCCTGCTGGCCTTCTTATCTGGAAAGTTGATTCAGAAGAAATGCAGACCTTTGGATTTGCTGTGCTGGATGAATGCAATGCACAGAGAAGATATTCTATTAAGGTAAGAAAAGGAACACTTTAAAGGAAAAACAAAACAAGACTATCATGTCACTGCCTCAGTGCAATTGTCATTACAGCTAATAATTTATTACTGTCTTGAAAACTAGGACTTCAGCTTTTTCCTCATAAGTGTATATTATCCAGCACAGCAATAAGGATCAGCTAATGGAATAAATATCTATGAGAACATAGGAACTAAGTACAAGGAACGAGAGTGCTATTGATTGCTGTTTGAAAGAATGCTTTTGCAGAGCCTTTTAATGGTTCATTAATCTGCTTTAAAATTCACATTCTGCATTTGGTTTGCAGAAAAAAGCATATAACAAAAAAAGACCAAGCTGTAGCTATAAAAGGGAGATTATAACTCATTCTCAATATTTTTAGAGGATTTTCTGCTCTTATGTCAGTACTCCACACATCAAGTTTCTTGGCTGAGCTTGTGCATTGCTTTGTCTTTATTGTATAACCTAACATTAATCCTGTGATAGGATGAGCCCATAAAGTGGGATGCAGACTCTTAACATAAGAACAGTTTTGTGAGGAGAAGATTTTTATTCATACAAATTCCTACTTTTACTCATTCAAACCACTATCATCAAAAATACCAACCTGCTGAACCCACACAGCAAAGGGGAAACTGGAGTCTAGATATGGTTTTAATGGAAACATTTCAAACTAGAGCTATGTTTAAGTAGGCGAGATAATAGAGAGGTTTGAAAATGTTGAAATGTCATTCTTGTACATACATAAAATACAACTATGGACCTCTCTTCCCTGAAGAGAAAGACCAGCTAAGGAATGCTGAAATCATGTTCCTGCCTGGGAACCATTTGTAATGTGAAACAGTAAGGAGGGCAGGCAGACAAAGAAAAGATTTTTCATTACTTCTTTGAAGAATAAGGAGCTGCACTCAGATACTCCGTAAAAACTGCTGTTATGGCAAGTAAGTTTTTTTTTTCTTATAAGAAATTAGAATGTTCAACCTAAATGGTGGGGAAAAAAAAAAAATCCCTTTGAAGTCAAGCTTTCCGTTCAGTAAATAATTATGCCGAGTATGAGACCATCTATCTAGGCAAAGAAAATAGGTTAGAAATAAGATTTCACAGCACTAGGTAACATGTCTGCATTACAAATCTGTGCCTTCATAAAGGTAACAGTGTACTTCTTAGCTGTGATTATCTGAAGGAATCTTACCGCAACTCCCTCTTCCCTTTGTCAGGTTGGAGTGAAGCCCTGCAGCTGCCTCAATGGTGGAACGTGTATTACCAATATCAAATGCCCCTCAGGCCTTGGTGAATACCTGTGCTTATGTCCAAATGGATTTGATGGAGGATTTTGCCAGGAAGATATTAATGACTGCAAATCAAACCCCTGCTGCAGTAGAACATGTGTGGACAGTGTGGATAGCTACATTTGTAAATGTCCCCCTAGTTTGGGAGGTAACACTTCACTGTTTCCATCTCCAGTTCAACTAGAGATATATTGTGCTACAGGATTTTTTGAGTGCAGCATGACTACAAGCTTTCAAATGGACTACATAAGCTTCCTCTTCTGCTCCCATGACTTAGCTTTAGACAAATAGAAAATGTGCAGCTATCTAATTATCCATGCTCAAGGAAGGGGAAAGTACCTAAAGCTCTGTAGTACTAAAATGACCACTCGGGAAGGCTGTGAACCTCACCAATCTCAGTTCCATGTGCTTATTTCCCATGTATTTGTGTGCCTATGAGATGAGCTAGGAGTGGAAGATAAAAAGAGCAAAGATACAGGACCCTTTTGTAGTCCACAGGATTTGACTAAATTAAGCCAACAAAAGAACTGGAAATGAATGATTTTTCTAGGTCTAGGTAGGAAAAGTAGATATGGAAAACATGAAAAAATGAATTGTTCTTTAATGCCACTTGAAGCTTCATTAAATTTAAGCATCATAAAACCACAAGCCTATTTGGTTGTCAGGCATGCTTATGGAACAAAATCCAACCTTTAGATTCAGGGCTGTCCACAATATGATTTTAAGAGAGGAAGGGAAGAGGGATGATAACTGCATCAATAAAAAGACTCTTTTAGAAGAGCAGAATGAGAAGCACAAAGAGGAGGAGTTGGAGAATGAAATGCAATGAGGCCAAAGAGGTAGATAAAAGACATACAGTGCAAAGAGGAATGGAGTGAAGACGTGAAGTGTAAGGAGAAAGAGAAGCATCTAGTCAATAACATAAATGAGAACATGTGTATCATCTATGTATCATCAACATGTAGCTATCATGCAATTTACAGGCAGCTTCATCACACTCAATACATCTGTGAATGATTCACGCGTGAAAAAACACTTCTGACAGCATGCGGACAATGACTTCCCCAAGCTCTGCATACTGGAACCAGCGAAGCCAGCCATTAGACCCTCTGCTGCATTAAGCCTCTAGAGTTTGGCTGAGCTGAGTCACTGTTGGGTCTTGCCCACCACTTCCTCCAGGCAGGCACCCAAGTACCTGCTGCTCAAACAACACTCACTTCCAACATAACAGATTTTCACATTGCCCTAAACATGCCTTCACCTTGACTTTCACAGAAGTTGTATTTTCATTTCCAGTTTAGTTCTTCAGGAGGTACAAGGCGAATCTGAACATACAGGACTTGAACTGGATTTCAAAACCTGGCTCTTGCTTAGCTTTGCAAAGGGACAGTTAAAATAATACCCACTCTCCCAAGTCACTGGGCAGTCATTAGAAAGACATTGTTACTGCCCATTCTTGTCAGAGTCAAATTAGTCTTTTGCAAGAGAAAAGTGTTAACTGAAACTGTGTTGGGACATTTGATCATGGGATCAGAACCCTTTCAAAAGCAGAGTAAGAAAAAAACACCTTAAGCTGAGCTCAGATTTCAGTCCTTGAACCTGTCAAAACTCCTACTCTGTTCACACACAGAAGTATGAATGAATTAATGAGACCAATAACGTTGACTGCTGTGTGGTCCTATAGGTTTGAAAAAACAAGTAGAAGTAACATCAAATGCACATAATTATTACTGCTTACAGTGTGTTTATATAGAAGAAATTAAATTTTAAAAATAAGCAATGAACAGATTTTACCCAGTGGGCTCATGCAGGCAGGCAGCAAGGTACCCTACTTTTCAGCAGTTCATTAAACCTTCTTTGTTTTGGTCGTGTGGGATGGCAAATCCAGATTTCATTAACTATAAAAGTCCAGCAGAAATTAAAAGTAAAAATCATTCAGAAGTGGAAGCTCAGTAAAATGTCCTAAAAGCTTTGTGACACCTAGGCGGTGTTAACTCCAGGTAATGCTACCAATAGCCAAAGCCTCCTGCTATCCAGTGCTATCTTTATGCCACCAGAGACTTTACTGATGCAAGAACACACAAGCCTAAGCACAGAGAATGAATTTAGAAAATGAAAGTTTGATCAAGATATAAAAATCACCAAACCAAACAAACATATGCACAATGCCTTGAATCCCCCTGGAAATAACATTCCTCTGAGCACAGGGAAATTTGGGAACCTTTAAGGCTGTATTTGATTAAACACTGTAGATCTACAATGAGAACAATTATTCACAGCTTGTAAGGAGATGGATTAAAAGAATAAAAAACAATATAATTTCATGAGTTAATAACTTAAGTGGATGTATTCCTGTTCTTTGATACTGGTTTCACACTGTTGCCCTTCTCACTGCACATTGATGGAGTGAAATCAAGCTCTATTATTCCATATAAAACATTCTGCCATAATTACAGTGCATTGTTTATAAATTCACACAGAATGTATTCTGAGATCTGGTTCTCACTGTTATGCAAACAAAGTGTTGTTAAATTTATAATAACACGCTTGAAAGCAACATACAGCTAACTCTAGAGACAAGGGTTCAGGACACCTTGATGGCCAGAGAACAACTTGGTGTTCCTGAACCTTTAATTTTTGCCAGGTTAAATAAAAATGCACTGTTTTTTTTGTTCTTCCCTGGCTTAAAATGCTGAAACACAAGCAACAACAATAAAAAAAAAGATATGATTGAGTGAAACAGGAATACATCTGAAAGTTTTAATAGCAGGTGAAAAATTATAAGCAAGTGGAGCTGAAAGCCAGCTGGGAAGTAGGTGATTTTACTTCAGGGCAGCTTCTGTGACAACAATAAAAGCTCATCCTTGATGCCATATTTATGCCTCAATTCCTCAGAAAACCATCAATAATCTAATGAGAAGGCGATGCTATACTACTCAGGTGACAGCACCACTTCACCATCATATCTTTACAAATGATAACAAACAGGTAGTAGAAACAAGACATTAACCCTTTTGAGAGCTTCCCAAACACTGATGCAGGAGAAGTGGCAGCGTGGGGAACACAGTGTGTTGCTAAGTGGTGGCAATTCAGGTGCATCGGTGTATCTCAGGCAACATAAGGGTATAATGTAGAAATGGGAACACAGCAGGGAGAGAAGCCATTGGAAAATCTGATGAGAAGGATGACTCCAGAATTATAGGTACTTTAAATTTCTGCAGAGACTTATATGCATTTATCTCATCAAGTGTTCAAAACTCATTTTTCTTCGACACTCTTAAGAAGACAAGAAATCTGGTTGTTTCCTGTTTTGGCCGCTGAAAGCCAGAACATCACCCACATGAGCACAGAACTCATCCTTGAAAACTGTATCTCAATCAAAAACACATTATTTCTTTCCCCAATACCAGTAATTAATATAAAATTGGGGGAGGAGGGAAGAAGATGGAACTATAATTTCATTTTACTTTTCAGAAAACTGAAGAAAACCCCAAGGTTTGGGGGTTTTTCATGGCTTGTAACAAACACAGAGTCCTTAAATGAAATTGCCTGTTCCTTTAGAGTCAACTTAATGTGAAACAGATGTTTCAACCTTGCAACCTGAAGATCTTTTATTCCTATTATTTCCATTTGTACTGTAGCAGTGCTGAGAGAATTGAGGCTCCCTTGTGTTGCAGTGCACTGGAGGTCATGCAAACAGAGTAACTGACACTTCTCAGTGCAGGAAGTTTTTGTCCATTTCTGCTCTTCTTCAGCAATCTTCAACCAAGTTTCAGACTTTGAAAACATTCGTTCTTGGACTCAAGCTGGGGTATAATTATGCCCAAATTGATCAGATACTGTTTAAAATCTGATCTCTCTGAGTGAAAAGAAGCACTTTTATAGTTTCACCTTTATGTTACAAAAATCAGTCAAGTGACTGAATTTTAAAATTTAGCTTGTTACTTATGGTGTTGCTTTGCTTTTTGTAATTCTCTCATCTTTGAGATTTTAAAGCCAGCTCTTTGCAGCAAAAATAGAGTATGTAGGAGGGAGGAGAGGGGACTGAGAGAGAAATGGCTGTTGTTACTGAAACTGAGAATTTCATTCTTACTTTCATCGTCTGTGGTATTGTGTTTAGTCTTTATATGATACTCAAAGAAAGAAAATAATTACTAATCTAATCAGAGGATAATTCATGGAATATTTTCCATAATGTGATGTCTAATAATTTTACAATGTGCATAGAAAGCTGTCAGAGAAAAGCAGTCTGATGCTACGACAGTGCTAGTTAAATTATAGATTAGAACTTTTAATCCAAAATGTAAAAAGGGAGGAAAAAAGTCAGTTAAGCCCTGAAATACTATGTGATGTCTACCTTAAATTAAAGAAGCAAGAAGCGTGCAAAACCAGAACAACTTAGCCTGAGATGGCACCAATAAAGGGATGCAGGTTTTGCACTGCTGTTCTTTTTTTTTTTCCCACAAGAAAAAATAAGCATGAGAGGGTGATGTCACTCGCTTTTTAAGGCAGCTCAATCAATAGAGAATTCAATTTGATTTTTTTAAATGGAGATGCTATTTTAACTTGAAAGGAGCAGTGGAAGCTATCTGAAATGCTGAAGCAATGAGAGATTATGTTGTAGGAGATGAATAATAATGCTCTGTTATTATCCTGTAATTCATTTCACTGTGACAAATTTCTTTCTTGAAGGAAAAAAAAAACAACATATTCTTTTATCCTTAGATCTTCTTTCATGATAAAGCTGAATATCTGATTTGAAACAAGCGTTTCTGTACCTTGTGGTATGTCCTGAAGCAGATACCTAGACTCTCCAGAAGGTGTCCCGGTCTCCTTGGGTATTCCTACAGGGACAAAGGGCAGGCCTTAACAAAAGCGATGTGGACTGGTTTGCGTTTTGCTATCAGGGCTGCATATTCTGGTAACCAGATATAGCCAGACAAGTTTTCTCAAGTGCACAGAGACAGCAGCACTCATACCTGAAGCCTGAAGGAGTTTTTAACAACTTCATACATGATTACTCTGCATCATTTGCTGTTCAGATATTAATTTTAACTTTTGGGTCACCTTACCCTATAGGTATCCATTAACTCATCCAGAGTTGTGAATCTGAATTTCAATTCCTTCAAGGGATATTTAAAACCCTATTTTCCAAATCAGCAATACTCTAGACACATCATTTTGGGTTCAGGTCCTATAGCAGCTTATCTTATGTACACTGGCAGCGTGGCTCAGAGACACTGTGAGAATGTTTCTTCAAATTTTAATTTTAAATAGAAAAAATTGTTTTATAAAAAATCTGATCATTTTGCAAAGTTTAACTTCAGTCAGACTCTATCAGGCTGTTTCACAAGAAGCTACTGGTTATACAAATTAAAATGAATTTGTCATAGAAATGGAAAGTACAGTAAGTCAGTACAAGGTTCTTCCAACCCTAAAGCCAAAATGGTGCCATTCACTGGCTTCTTCAGTATATGACAAAGATCTCCCATAACAAGACACTAAAAGCAGCAGCAAAGATGGCAAATGCAGGGGAAATAATTTATGTAACACGCGTGGTTTTCTACAAGCAACCCTCTCCAATTCAGCACCTCTGATGCCAATAACAACAGTAATAAACAGTGTGATAAAGGTAGGTTTAAGTGAGACAGTGGGGAATTTGGCTCAACCATGAGTGACATACCCTGTAATGAGTTTACAGCTGAGAAGTAAGCCTTAGTGTGTTTCAACATTTGAGCTGAGGAATAAACAGGTAATCTTTCCTGATTATTAACCTCCCCTTTGTTTTACCACAGGGCTTACTTGTCAGGAAGACAGGAATGAATGTGATGAGGGTCTTTGTTTTCCTGGAGTGTCTTGTATGAATACCTTTGGATCATATGCATGTGGAATTTGCCCCAGTGGGATGGAGGGAAATGGTAAAACTTGCAAATGTAAGTGCATGATTTGTTTTAATAGATGAGGGGAAAAAATGGGTTCAATTCTACTTCTATTATCTTTAATTGAGTACTTTGCCACTTCCTTCAAACACAGATCTTTAAATATACAAAGCAGACTATTGTCATGCTATATTAATATGACTAATTGCTAAGTGGTCTATGCTATTTGTCACTACAGTTTAGTTTCATTTTGGTTAGAATAAACATCGTAGATGTTCCAGATGCCAGCTAGATAATTTGCCAAGGACATTCTCCGTGTTTTCCATTGTTTCACTCCTGAATATACCATTCACTAACAAGTACTTGGGGAATACCCCCAGAACTACTTTTGTTTTGGGAGAATGCCGTGTAAGCAGCACGTAGGGTAAGAAGGTCCATGTGCAAATCCTCCACAACCTTTCACCTGTTTCTAAGGTGTGCTTTCGTTAGAGGACACAGTACACAGCTTCTGATCTCATGCTTGGCATAAAATCATGATACAGGTCCCAGCTAGTGAAGGAAATTGCCAGGAACACTTTTACACTTGTTCAGTATTTGGGTGCAACAGACTCTTTAGAAGGGAGACTACAGTGACTCTGTACTCTGATAAGACCTTCCCAGTGCACAGGATGTGACCTACTCACACTCTGCTTCTTTCAGTCATATACAAATAAACCTTGTCGAAGAATAACATTTTGTTGGACAGAAGGAGAGAAATCAACACTTGCAGTGTTTTGCATTATTTTGTTGGTGTTTCCAAAGAAATCTGATAAGCCAAAGATACAGATATTAACTGTGCAGATATTAACTTTTTCTCATATTAACTACTGAAAGGAAAATAAAAGCAAACCAAGAAAACAGATGTAAGAATACTCAGTTGAACCTACAGGATTCTGGCACCAGCAGGACTGCTTTTGTCAGACTGACCAAATTTTCCCTTAATCATATTGCCAAATGTCTGTACTGAATGTTTTCTTTGCTGTATTATTTGGCCACATCAGTTATTTCAAAGTGATTTTGTATCCCTTTCACTAATGCCTGTTTTTGTAGCTAATTTGACTAATGAAGGAAGGATGTACAAAATAATGCCCTTCTTTTAAATATATCAGAAAAGTCATTTCTTCCTTTACAGGTTTTTTTTTTTTTAATTACAGAGAGTTTTCTCTATTTCCAAAATACACATTAGAAGGAATAAACCTGAGGGCTTCCTTGTCCACTCAAAGAGGACAGAAGTCATTCTTTGTGGTTCTGATATACAGAATTAACATAACTACTCATACATCCCTTGCTTATGCAAATATAAAGGCTTCTGGGAGGAAGGAGGAGAAAACTGAAGTAACTTTATAGCTCTTACAGTGGGCCATATCTCATTACATTGTTTAATATCTGTAAGGAGTCTCAGGCTTTATTAAGAGTACAGAATATCCCAATAGTTGCTTAACTTGCAGCATTATCCATGTAGACTTTACAGTCACTAATTCACTCAAGAAGGTATCTTAAAATTATTCAGAAACCAGTAATTTTTAGAGTCTCCACCAATCAGTTTTCCTTTTCACAGGCATGTATACTTTGTACTGTACAAAGTTCGCAGCTGAAGTAACTGAAGACAACAAACATGCACAACATTCTTTCAGACAGAAGCTTTCAAGGAAAGGCAGGAATCAGAGCACAGATCCCAGTGTATAGTATGCAATCTTCATCCAAGTAATGATACTCTCTAATACATGGGAACCTGATGCCTCCTTAGTGCCCTTAGGTCACCCTGCATATTAAGCTTGTCTCCCAAAAAAGTAAAGTTCAATGACTTTGGGCATAGTAGTTTTTTCTATATTTGTGTTGAAGCTTTGCTGTATGTCAGCAGCTGACTCACCTGATTTGCTTTTATTTGCTTGATGGTTGGCTTCCAGAACAAACTTATGTCAGGTTATCTGATTTGCTGTTACTGTTGCTTTTTATCATCAATCACAGCTAAGCTCTAACATCTTGTTTCCTTGTCTTCATGCTTTCTTTTCACAGCTGTGCTTGCTGCTGACATTACAAAAGCTTTAAGCATTGAAAAAGGCAATGGCAAAGGTGACTTCAACAAGACTGAGGTTAAGCAACCACTGCAACTCTTAGAAGCAAAGGGTTCTCCTGTAATTAAGACTTCTAACATAAGTGATAGATCTGGTACGTATACAAGGATATGAACTATTTTTTTTAATTTGCTGCAGTTTACATAGTCAGAAATCATACATTTTACCATCTTAACAGTAAACCTACACTAGCTGTTTATAGTGTATCATAGAAATATAGAGTTAAAAATAAAAACCCCCTTAATTACATCAGACCATGTTTTGTGGTTTAAACCCAGTCAGGCAACTCGTTCACTCACTCCCTCCCCTTCTTTTCCTTCCCCCTACTCCCGGAGGGACAGAGAGGAGAATCGAAAAGAATGCAACTCCCACAGGTTCAGATAAGAACAGTTTAGTAACTAAGGTATAACACAAATCACTACTGCTACCACCAGTAATAATAGTGATAAAGGAAATAACAAGGGAAGAGAATACATCACCTCACCAGCAGGCAACCGATAACTCGGCCCCCTCAGCCCGACCAAGCTCTGACCCATACCTCCTCCAACCCTGCAGTCTCCCAGCCCTTCCAGCTGACTCCCAGTTAGATCCTGGGCATGACGTGCTGTGGTATGGAATACCTCTTTGGTCAGTTTGGGTCAGGTGTCCTGTCTCTGCTTCCTCCCGGCTTCCCCTTCTCTCTGGCAGAGCATGAGGCTCACAAAGTCCTTGGCCAAACCAAAACATCATTGTTATCAGCTCTGTTCCCAGGCCGAAAGTCAAAACACTGCACTGCACCAGCTACCAAGAAGGAGAAAAATGACTGCTACTGCTGAACCCAGGACACCATGGAATGCTGGTAAACAATTTTATGTGGAAGGGAGACATTACAGCAGTAGTAGAGTGGTCAAGCTTAATTAGAAATTGCATCGCTTCTGAAGTAGAACAAAATCACTCTAAATCTGAGGGATCAATGGAAAAACAAGATGAGAAGAATGACAGCTTATGCCAGTTTTCCATAACCAAGAGATGCTGACATTTTATTTCTGTATTTGATGGATCCAGTCCACTGGATTGAGACTGTGGATTGAGTAAGTGAAGATGGATTCTTGAACTACAAACTTAACTGTGGCAGTTTCCCAGAAATGGAGAACTACAGAACTCTCTAACATGGGTGTGCACCCGCATGATACTTACATTGGCCCTGCCCTTATGAGTGTTGCATGTTCAGTTGATGTTCTAATGAAAGCAGGGAGCAGAAAAACTGAGACTACACATATCTGTTGTGTAGGGGCATATGTAAAAGCAAAGATTATATTACTCTCACTCCTTTTTTTCCAATCTGTACTAGGCCAGCCAACACCTAGACAGAACTTGCCTCTTGCAGGTATCCATCATAATGTTGTAGATTAGGTGCAAGATGAAGATTCTTGAGAATCATAATGGAGACCTCACTGGAGGCAAATAAAAAAGATCTACAACCATCATTAAGATTTTATTCATCATCTGTTCTCTGTCTTGACACTATTAAATACTTCACAGGTAGTTCATATACACTTGCTAGTCAGTGACATCATAAGTGATAAAATATACTATCAGTGTTAACTTCTGCACGTAGTTCTAAGATAATTAACACAGTCTTCTGTCATACAAGGTTTGACACATTAAGGATGATTTCTAGATTAGAAACATATGTATTAGTGTGTTTTTAAAGGTAGGTATATGCTCTAAGTTTTGATGATTACCTTCCAATTTTAAAAGACCAAAAGGATGTTGAATAATACAATTTCTCACTCAGTTAATCTTTCACTTATGCTGAAAATTACAGTTTCTATATTATCCATGATAAATGCCAAACAACTTTGAGTAATTAACTTGAAAACATGTAATTAGAGAACTAATAAATCTTGCTTTAATGAGAAACAGCTGTTCTGTTACACTGTGCCTACAGGACATTCTCATGTTTGGCTCAAGGTTTGGGAACATTTTGCATTAATTAGACTTTCATATAATAAAAGCAGTTAGAAAGCTTTAGCTGGACTCAGGCAGTCACTGTTTAATTTTACATAAAATAAGAAATTAGAAATAAACATGCTTGAACTTCCTTCTCTTTTAGGCCATGCAGCACAACTGTCACATATTACTACCTGTGCCAACAGGCCATGTTTTCCTGGAGTATTCTGCTTTGATCGGAAACCCCCTTACATTGGCTATGTCTGCGGACGATGTCCAGCTGGGTTTTTCGGAAATGGTTGAACCTGTACCAAAGTCCCCAGATCAGGTACTTTCTCATTTTTAGAATATTAAAAAGGTTTTGCATACAAAGGCTGTAAGAAAATATAAACTAACATGGCATTACAACATAGTATATTTTATAATCAATCACTGAAAAGTGAACTTCTTTCACTCTTGCCTGACAAGCAGTTGGCAGGTCTTATTTCAGTATTACCTGGCTCTGAGAGTCGAAATTCAATAGACTAACCATGTTGTTTGCCACTAGGGAGCAGATGGTATGAATCACCAAAGCTATACTTCTGCCACAGCATTGGCATAGGATTTCAAAACATGAGTATCACTCTGCTTTCCTTCGTTCCTAATTCTTTTGCTGCAAGGCATTTTTTCCCCAAAGTGACTGTGAAGATGATAATAAACAAAGTTTCATGCAAGAACAACTATACCAACAACTAAAGGCAACAGATAATTAAAGCATTTCAACAGTATTGTTCATAGCCTGAGCAATAATCTTCCTTAAGGAGCTCTGAAACTCAGGTAGTCTCATTAATCTCTGAGGCCTGATCATTAGAAGAGGTCTTCTGCTGCAAGAACGAAAAGCTGGGTGCTGACCTCAGGCAGAAAGTGGCAATGTCATAGCAACCACCGATCAGTCACCTGATCCTGATCTTCCGCAATGAAATTCTCCTAATTCAGCGTATGGTTCCCTAGGGACAGTCTGGATGGTTTTCCCCTTTTTACTGCATAGAGTGATTTGCATAGAGAATTCATGTTTATTCCTTAATAACAGTAGCTATTAGATCAGATTCCTTGGTTTTCATCTAAACCTTTTTCTTAAATATTTAAGACAGACTGGCTTGAAACCTCTCAAATTATTTTCCAACTTGCTACACTTGACAAACCCACCTTTACTTTCCATTCTGTGTCCAAATCAATGACTGTTCCCTTGGTGTTGTATTTTAATGCATGCTATCAAAGCAAAAGTAATTTTACTGCTTACTGTAGGTATCATCCAATCTCTTTGAACTATAAATTGATTTTAGCCAGTTCTCTGAATCTAAAGGTCACAAAAATAAACCCAACTTTTTTCTTTCTCTAGCAATGAGGACAAAGTATTACAAAGTCTGTCAGAGACACTAAGTCAGCTATCAACTCTTCTGTAACTTGGAGCTGTAAAAGCAGTTGAGAAGAAGAAGAAATCATTGTTCATATAAATAAACTAAGGTTTCTATTCTTGCCCAAAGCTACACCTTGTCATTAATGGGATAATCGAATATGCGTTGAACACCCTAAAGGGCATTTAAATGCTGTTGAGTAGAACAGATAGTCTACAGCTGTAAGTATTGGTACAGTAAATCAGACAAACTTACATCATGCTTATATAAACATTAACCAATAAATTTGTTTATGTTCTAAAAAAGGGAAGCGTAGATAGTAGTTGCCATTTACTGTGATTCACAGTGTCATACACAGCTCCAGGCAAGTTTTAAGAAATATCCCACGTATCAGGATCTGAAAATAATATATACTTCTTTCAAAAGCAAGCAGTATATCAGAGGCTGAGGATTTGGTTTTCCTCTCAAATACGCAAATTGAGTCCAGGACTTCATGCTGCAAATGTAGCCATGCAACCAATTTGAGCATTCTGGGGAGCAAATAAAGAGAATTTTTTGTTGTTCTTCCATCAGAACCTTATATTCACTCATGTGAATTATATCACAATATAAACAACGAGAATCTTGTGCCTCAAGGTGAAACAAGAGTAGTCATTTGTTTTAATATTTAGAAATTAAAGCAATTGTTGCAGCTGTATGAGTGTCCTAATTTATGACCAAAATGATCAGTTTAGCTTTTACTCATGTGCTTTGCTAGTTGAAGTACTGTGTAGCATCAATGATTAAAAGATTTCAGACAAAAAAATATTGGATTTTCAATTAAATTTATGTACAGTTATGGATTATGATTATTGTAAATCCTCCCTGTTAGAATAATAGCTTCTATCCCTGGTAACTTATGCTATCAGTCTTCAAATGAAACAGAACAAATCTCTTTCAGCTTACTATGGTGCTTGTGAAAATCCTGAGATTATGTGCCACTTCTTTCTAACTCCAGTAATTTTAATCTGAAAATACTCTTGATAATCCCTATTTTGTACTTTTATTGGCTACTTTTGTCCTGAAGTTATACTCAATTGTTGTGATTTAAGGATTAAAGGATAAGTATTTTTTCATAAAGAAACAACAACATACTGAGCAGAAAACATATGCCGGAAAATAACTGTTTACTATATGTTTGATGAGCTGCATGCAGAAGTCCTTCAAATTTGATTTATAATCAGCAAAGTACCATTTCCTCAGCATTGATATGTGACAGGTATTAATTTTTTGATGTAGCTGAATTACTGCAAACTGTGTAACTCCACAAATAAGTTTCTGAGCTGTATTTACCTGCTCTGCCAAGAAAGCAGGGCCTCATTCTATTCTCACTAATAAGTGCTTTACCTGGTTTGTATCAGTATTCTGTACTGTTTAAATTAACCAGACGTAGTTGCAATTGTTCTTGAAGTACATCAGGTTAGTCTTAAGGAAAAACATTATCAGTATCAAAGCTGGTATGGAGTTTGATATATAAATGAAAATTATTATTTTTAAAAACACATTCTTGTATCAGAAACAAAAAAAAAAAAAAACCTGTTTCTCTCTCTTCAAAATCCATGAAGTCCCTTAATTTTGCTGGAGTTCCAATAAAGAGGAAAGTGTAAGGACTTTAAAGCTGTCCAAGCTTCCCTGGGCACATTTCACATTTGTATAAAATACCTGTTACCTTTTTGTTAGAAGAGGCAGATCTATTAAATCAAACCATACAGTATCATTGGTCATATTCTTGGCACAAAGAAAATGAATATATCCTAATGGGAGATGCTGCTGATGTTACTGGATGTTGTAATATTACCTCTTGTCAGACACTACTGGTATTTCTCTAGACTGGTTTCATCACTCACAGTCACAGAGATACCCATCTGTTTGCATTTCCTTTAGCAGATTAGAAAGGTTGGTGCCATCACAAAAGATTTATTTTTTTCCTATTAGTAAATCAGCAATTTTACTGGACAAAGCAGTGCCATATCCATCACCGATAAATGATTGTTCAGAGCAAGCTCTTTCTGCCTTTCCTGGTTTAGGGAGCCAAAGATCAAGGGAGAGATTATTTTATGATCTCTGTAATAGAGTTCTGCTTTTCCATGCTGAAAACCACCGCTAGCTCTCCTGCCATAGCAGTTAATTTGCAGTGTTCTAGACATCTGGCACTTGATATATTTTTGTATAAGCCAGCTATTTGTTATGTTTATGTACTTTATGTTTTACACTACTCCAGTATCTTCATCGTGCTTTTGAATTCACTTTGATTTTACATCAGAGAGATCTCTGTGACCTTCTCATTTGCACCACTGTCAGATCAACAACAAGGCGTGGATATAAAAGGAGAATAAAATTAAAAGATTAGAATTAAAAGAATGTGTGTGTTTAAACACATAGTGCTCAGTCTAACACCAGAGAAACATAATAGTCTTAAATTTTACATTCTTAACTTTTAAGTTTGAAATTACTGCTGTCGTTATTGGCACTCATCATCCCAGAAATAAATCCAGTAAGAGCTTTGGTCACCAACCCAAGGTTTCATCTCTGGGGCTCACTGCAGCAGTAGGGACCTCTTAACTGCTAGAACTAATACAATGATTTTGCTTCAGGAAATGACTGAAGAACATAATGGTCTCCTTTCATCTCTTATCTAACAGAATGGGTAAATTTGCATTAAAAAGATCAAGGCCCAGATTCCAGTCTCACACCAATGTAAATCATAAGCAATTTCATTAAATAAATAGCATTACTCTGAGTAAGTCAAGCACTGTTCCTGGAAGACACATCTTAAAATCTGTTAAAGCAGCCACATTACACACAGAACTTTTAAAAACAAAATCCGTATATACTAATAGGTGTAGATAAAATGCATATACTTTTCAGCATTCAGAGGGTGTTTTGCAATGAGTAACTAACCAGCCTTGACATCGTTTATGCAGTGAGTTTCAAGGCCTACTTGAAGGCAGGAATATTTTGATGTGCAATCATTAGCTATGAAGTTGTCTGAGATTCTTGCAAAGAAGGCATAACAGAAATACCAAATAAATAGTAAATAATACTCTGATTTGCCTCTGTGTTGTAATACCTCCCAGCTATTCTCGTGGGCTCCAAAACAGGGAAGTATTGCATTCCAATGTTGTGCCTTCCAGCTCCTAGCTCTGACTCAAGCCATCAAAACTCTGCCCACAATTCATTTTTGGAATTTATGCTGGAAGTTGGAAATCCCTTTTGTAAACTGTTTTAGTGTTTCTAGATTGTGCATTTCAGGACAAAATGTACATTTTTTCCAGACTGACCAGTTATGATGTAAGGACATCTCCTTCAAGGGGTACGTGATGAAATGGCATCTGAAGTGGGGTTAGAAATGCCACACAAAGGCATTCCATATAAATTAGGTCTCATGAAAGACAGTTTTGCAAATGGTACACCAGTAATGTTTGCACAAGGCTGGGATAAGCCTGGCATTTTGAACATAAGCTGTGACCCTTTCCTGCCCTCTGAGTTTGTAATTGCCACTGAATATCCACTCATGTACTTGTCAAGATAGAAAGGGAATCTGAGAGTCCTTCCAATGGCTTCTCCTCCTTAGGGATACCTAATAAAATATTAAGTATTTTCAGAAAAATAACCACAGAAGCCTGTAGTGTATATGCTATGACCCAAGCATAACAACTAAAGTAGGCACGGTGGGAAGAATATGTTTACATAATTTTAGAGATAAATGGTTTCCAGCTTCACTGATCCATATACTCTGTCAATCCAGAATTTGTTAAGTACTTCCAATACAGATGATATATTTAGGAAATTATGTAGCTCAGCAATAGAAGACCAATGAAGCCCAAGCCATAAAACCACTAGGGAAGAGGAGTCAGCTATGTGCCATGAATAATATTTACACTCAATCAGAACA